AAGAAATGTAATTGTGTACTTCATTCTAGTTTTTCGATTCCACTCTGCTAGCCTGAAATTTGGACAATAAATCATTTCAACTGTTAACTTCTAGTAGGAAATGGAAAATGGTGGAAGGGAGAAAAATTAAAAAAAGGTAGAGGGACCCAGACAGTGCAATTTTTAATGAATATGGCAGCATTATATTTTACTCAGGCTTAAAGCCCCCAAGATATTGGCAGAGGGCTGTTGTTCCTTGATTAACTTTAATGGAAGTTGGATATCTGAAGTTATTTGCAACATCCATTTCTTAACTGAGTTTTGATTAAAAGGGGAATCATACCTTTGTTGGATGTAACAAGCAAACTTGCCAACTTCTGAAAAGGGGCTAATTCGCAGCTGAATAGGATGAAGTAGTAGCTGGCTTTAAATCTGAATAAATAATAATTTTTGTGAACTAAGAGTTGTGTGTGTTATTCTTCTTCGATTTTTTTTTTTTTAATCATTTTGAGAATTTAGGAAAAAGATTAGCTTTAAGTTATGTGGTTGACTTCCAAAATAAATAAACCATCTCAAATTTCTAAAAGTCATTTCAGATTTTAAAGAATTTCCTCATGTTAGTAGAGGTATTGTTGAAAGTACTTTTTCTGTTGAAGATATATTTTATGTAAGAACAATGTGGGTTTGCCTTTTTTGTGGTTTTTTTTTTACCTTTGGTATTCCTCAGTGTGCTTACAGCGTAAGCTTTGTAATTTGCTTTTGGAGGAACAGATGTTAGTTGTCCCCTCAGGTGTGTATGTGATATTAACTTTTATTTTAGAGTCTTAAGTAATGTTAAGAGTACCTCTCAATTGTAATCTTATTCTTTAAATTATTGGGACATAAAAATTTTACCCTTTTCTACATTAAAAAAACAATCAATGAAATACAATACTTTGAATTATTCAAAGATGATACAATGGGAAATTGGTTATTCTCTTGATTCAGAAGGCTGGATAATTGAGTTGGATTTTTATGTCTACAAAAATCAATGCCTAGGTGGACTTTGGAGGAATGCCTATAAAAAGACTGGCATTTGCATTAAGTGGCAATACTAAATTTTTGACTGCGTCACAGATGGTGTTTTCCAGTGCTTCATTTTTGTTTTATCATCTTGCATCAACCTATATGTTATGGCACAGCGGGCTGAAATAATGACGTAGGGGTTTGTGTTGTTTTTTGGTTGTTTTTTTTTTTTTTTTTTTTTACCAAATTCATGCTTCTTTTGGAAGTGATGACAGTGACATAGAAATCCTGAATGAAGCCTGGAGTCTTTTTCTCAAAATGTTTCTTAGACCTCAGCTTGTTTAAATGCAGGATATGCTAAATAATTATTAGAGGCAGTAAGCATAGTTTTTGTTTTCCTTTGTGACTTGTTTGGTATTTTACTAACAAAGGATTTCTTGTGACAGTTGTTTTTTCTTGTTTGCTTACTAAGACATGAAGACACTTGGCTTTCCACAAGAAAAGATGTGGTGAGGTTGTGATTTTTCAAGAGAGGAGGGATTTGGTGTTTTTATGATGACATGGATGTTTTTAATTTAATACAAAACTGTAAAAAGTGGTAAGAGGGAAATAACTGGAAATACTTAACTTTTTGAGGACATTTTTATGTTGAAAAGATTAATGTTAGATACTTGCAAGCACAGCTATTTACTCTAGTCTGATTTTTGTTATCCTGGGAAATTTTAAACCTTTAAGGATTTCACACTGTTCTCAGTTTCTTCATCTTTTGCAGCTGAATTAATTGCAAGACAGTATTAAAGTTGGTATCCTTAAAAAGTTAAAACGAGAAATGTGTTTCACATGCTTTGCTTTCTAATGAGGTAAAGAAAAAGAGACTTGTTCATTATGCCCACACTGAGTATCTGGAAGATCAGTGTGAGTGGTTCACCAGATACTAGTATTAAACCGGTTGAAATGTCAGTTAATATTAAATAAACCTAAATGGGCTAAAAGGAAATGGATGCACTTGTTCTGATGCTCTTGTCCTCAGAAGCATACTTGTATATTCTTCAGTACACCTTGCCCTCCAGTGAGGTAAAGCAGGTTGCAGTGTTTTACTTTTAAAAAGCGTATATTGGTTACAAACTGATAAAGATTTTAGAAAAACACTGGTTTTCTCCTCCTCCTCACTCGGGCAAATGATACCTGGAAGATATCAGCAGCAATTCCATTCATTCTTTAGAAAGCATTTTCTTTTCTTAAGCATTCACAGGTGAATGAAAGCCCTTTGAGAAAAATCCTGCCAAAGATTTTAGCAGCGTTGACTTCTCAGCCCTGTACACCAACTGTGCACAGCTTAAGCATTCAGATGGAAACCTCTGAGAGTACATAAAGCTTCAACCCATGAGTACTCCCTATGCTGGAGGGACTTCTTTTTTTGAGAGTAGTAATTCAAGGTTACTGTCTCGGTCAGAACGTTTTGACCACAAACATCATCTTGAGAAAAGCAAAGGGAATGGTTGTACCCTGTGGTTTCAGTTATAGAGCAGTTAGCTCATGAGCCAAAATGCATCATTACTATCATCCAGTTAGTGTTATCATGAAAGCTGTCAGATTTAAATGCTTAAGAGAGCTCTTGTAACTGTTGCCATGGTAATATCAGAATGGCTATGTGGTAGTTTTCATCCATATCCCATGTTCTGCTAAATTCCTTTGCAGTCATTTAACTGGGAAAGGGAGGTACCATATTGTACCAGGCTAGATTTCTTTTGAGTTAACCAGGGACAGATGAAGACTGAAATTAATTCTTTCTTTGACAGTTAAATGTATAGTCCTAGATACAAGTGATCTAGTTCCCTTTGCTTTTGGTTTGACTGCATGTCAACAATCCTATATAAAAAAAACTCTCTGAAGTTACTGACCTGCTATTCATGCCATCATGTCACGTCTTGTAATTACTTGGGTTCAGGCTATAATAAAATACAAGCAAGCGTTAAAATCACAAACTAAAAACTTGGTTAGCAGCATGGATTTATGTGACAGAAGTTTAATTTTCTCCAAAAGGGGTGAAGTGCAAACACTTGCCACTAGAGATTCAGATCCTGCTTTCTAGTTTGGCCTTACTTTTAATGCTTTCCCTTATCACTGAGCCTGCCGTATTTTTTTTTTTTTTTAATCTGTGTGATGTTGATCAGCTGCTGCATTTTTAGTTTCACTCTTCTGTTCTCTGACATTCAAGAGCTTTTTTAACTCACCTACTCTAAGAGGTTCTTCTCCACAGCCCTCCTTCAGCCTCCTGCCCTGGAAAGCCTTTGACTTCACTCTTGCTGTGGGTACAAAGCAAAGACAATGTTCTCTCCTTTCTGACCTACATTTTCACAGTGCAGCATGGCATGGCTGGCGGTGCAGCTTCCCTGCCTCCCTCCTTCCCCCCGTGCTCCCCTCGCAGCAGGGCTGGGTCTTGTGGAGCAGAACTGGAGAAGGGAGGCGGGACTGGATGGGCTAGAGTGTAATCTGTAGTAATACAGCGAATGCCATGGCTATTGGGTATGATCTGCAATCTGAAATTATTGTGGTCAGCAAGGGTGAGATTGTGTGCCATCTGAATCACATGCTGTTTTGGAAGAATAATCTGAAATGAAAAGGATGATAATGCTCTTAAAATTTGATAGGTGCAGTTACCGTAGTATAATTAAGTAATTGTCCAGTATTTATTTATTTATGTTATTTGACAGCATAAAATAGGGATTGAGAAATGGGGTTTAAAATTGGAAAAGTATGTTAACTCCTGCTGCTTTTGCAAATCAGTTAGAAGCATGTTCTTGCTAATAGCACAAATGTGAGAAGTAGTAGCTTCTCTATTAGCATCTTCCCTCTCCCTTTCATATCTTCATAGGAAGTTTTCACACATTGCAATGAGTATTCATTCAAGAGATAAGATTTTCTTTCACTGTGGGATTATGTAGGTATTTTAGGTTGAAGTATGATTGGCAACTCTGTTAACATATCAGGAAAATTAGTAAGGGATGGTGGGGCAGTTTAATGTCTTCTATGTGCCTTCCTCCCCTCCGGTGCCTGGATTTAGCATGGATTTTGAGGCAGTAAATGAAAGGCTTAACATGTTAATATATTCTGAAAATATTTTGTAAATATGGACTGACACATTTTATATTACTGCGCTGCAAAGAAAAGCAAACTTTAAATTACTGTTCTAGCAAGGTTAATGTGAAAGCCAGTCTGTCTCATCTCTTTTAGATCACTGCCATCATACACTTTTAGATTTACAGGACATAAAAATAATTTACAACATTTAAGTGAAAACCTTAATGGACACTGAATTTTCCCTTAGACCAACCACTGAGACTTGGAAATACCTTTACCTGTAATCTTTTCGAGACTGGAATAGGTTGTGAAGTTTACCTGTGAAAAATCTGTCAATGGCTGGGGATAGGATCAGTTGTATTACACCAAAACCTGTAGTTGTGTATTTTCTGTGCTCAAATCTATTGATGTGTGATCTGCAAGCAGCCCACATCACTGATTTAATTGGAGATTTGAAAGGAACAGTTCTGGTTTTGGTTCATAACAGTTTTTTGTGGGACCTCATTATTTTGGTCATCTATAATCAATGTGCAAGTCTTTATTTAATTGAAAGTTAAATAAATAGGGAAAAATGATGGAATTCGAATTTCTGGTTTTTGTTACCGTGCTGCACTTTTCTAAGGCTTTTCTTTGTCATAATGATGGTATTGGTGACATGGCATTTTATTTTTTTTTCCTGTAGTAAATTTTGAGTCATTATGACTTCCTGTATTTGTTTTCAACCTGAAGTAGGCACACAGAGAGGTAAAAACATTCAAAGCAATTATTGAGGTGTATAAGTTTGTATAATGAGTAAACTAGTTAGATACTTTTTGTTACTGCATTGCAGACATGTTAGACTCTTGATACAAGCCTGTATCCTGTTGCTAATGAAAATGCAGTTTTTTGTCTTGCTTTGAGAAAAGGAAGTGAGAGAACTTGTCAAAGATTTTAATGATATAATTATTGCACTATTTTTAACAGAAAATGGTTTTATATTCTAGTAGAGTGAGCAAATAGCTTAAACACAAGCTATAAAACAGTAAAAACATTCAGAGAATGGAATGTAGATCTTTCATTCTGTAATTGCATATTTCATCATACAAGCTGTTCCTCCTGCTTCTGAAAGCTTTGTAACAAACTGGAAGAAAACAGTACTTGGATACAAGTGATGTAAGTAGCCTTTGGCTGTCTTGGTAATGATTCAAATATATTTATAGAATAGCTTCAATTCACACCCAAACATTAATACAAATTTTTTAAAATTATGTTGGATCCTCAAAAGGTCATTAAAAAATGGCTTTTATTTTACATACTCCTCACTAGTGTTTTAACTAGGAAGAAGTTTGATATACTGAACTCGTAGGCATTGAACTGTAATTCTGCCAAGTTCGGGCAGACCTGCATCATGCATGAGCTCCCAAGTGGAGTACCCAAGAGGTGGTTTGGCTGCCAAACTTTATGATTCAAGTGCCAGACTATTTAAGGTTTAGTTATTAACCTCTTGGACTATACCCAGAAGCCAGTAGCAGCATTTTGAACTATCCAGAGTTGGTAAAATCTAAGTAGAATACACTACAGTCCAGCTTGAAAGTACTGAAGGCAGGGAGCAGTGTTGAAGTCCCTTCCAAGAGGATGGATTGTGTTCTTGGCCAGCATTACTCAGGGAGAGGCCACTAACAGGACTGTACATCTTCCAGAACCGAATACCCTTGAGTAGTAGCTGGCTTCCAACACTGACACCGGTTGTCTAAAACTTACACTATTGTGTAAAGCTTGTATATAGTTAACTTAAGCCCCAGGTAGCGTTCAGCTGGGATATTACTGTGGCCTGGGTTAGCTGGAAGGGAGGCAGGTAGGCTGAGCATGAAGAAAACTACAAATGGGTGTTGAAAGAACAGTTCCAAAGAAGATTTCTAATGCAGCTTGCATCTCTGTGTCGCGTGAATGCCAATAGTCTTCACATGAACTAAAGGAATGCACTTTCAATCTAGTTGGAGAAATCTCTTCTGCAGAGAGTTACTATTTTTACACGTTTGCTTTCCCCAGACATGGACATTTCTACTATTTGAGGTATCTCAGAAATGCACAAATGTATAATTATCATACCTCAATTACAGCAGATCACAAAATTTAGTGGAGGATCACAGAAAAGTTGTGACGAGCAAATTCACATACACATCTTCAATAGGAACTCCTAGAATGCCTTCAGAGGACTAGTCCCATGCAATATTGTCTGCTCGTGTGTAAGTTCTTGCATACAGACAGCCTTATGGCTGCTGAGAGTACTCGGTAATATGATTTCATTACAAAGGAAAAAAACCTGCTGTGATCTCTGTATTGTGCATGGTATGAAAACTAGGCTTTAAGAACTAGGGAACACTAGGAAAGTCAAGTAGTGCTAAAGCTAGAAATCAATTTTTTCCTGAGCAGCTTTCCCATAAAAAGTGAAGTCTGAAGACCATAAATATCAATTTTATTAAATAATAAAAGTACATCAAATATTTGTATTTTATCCAATTAAAAAGTCCCAGTCAAATGGAAATCTAATCACAGTTCCATCATTTGCTGTGAAATCAGAGGTGGGTATTGCTTACCCTGGCACTGTGACAAACAGTAATAACCTGAATCTGATACAACTCTGCTGTAACTGTGTTGGAAAATAAGCTTTAAAAGTTCTATTAGTTAGAAAACTGGAAGCCTGTGAATAGATTTAACCTACTTCTCACAATTGATTTTCAGTGGTACATGTTGTGGCTTTAATTTTTAAAATTGTTCAGATTTTGTTCTTGCCCATATTGCTAACTGGAACTCTCAATCTTAGTATGACCTAGTCTTCCCCACCTACAATATAAGGTATGTGGCTTAATTTTCTCTAGCAGACCTATTTTCACTTGGCTGATCCTTCTTTTTTTGGCAGGTAGGAAAGAGCAAAATCAACAAAGATGTGGTTGTTTTTCTCCCTCTTTCCACAAAATGGAACGTGTTCCAGACTACGATTAAAGACTTGAAGTTCTGTTTTGCATTTCTGATCAGGCTTTGAGTTACCATGATGTAAGGAAATTCAGAGCAGATTGAATGAATTTGCATGAAGATGCCAAGAGGCATGTTACTTGGCACCAGATTTGAGGATCTCTCACCTTATGACTTCTAGGGAATTAAGTAACTTTTAGTCAGCTCTTTGAGGAGAATCTGGTTGAATCTAGAACATCACTTGCGTTTCTGAAGGTGATGTACAAAGCATCAGTCTTCTGAACTTTGATTTCGTTTATCCCTCCTTTGTAACCAAAATAAGCAACCTTCCCTAAACTGGACCTGCTTTAAGAGAGTACTTTCTTTAGTGTTTTAGAGTTCATTGGTAGTGTCTTACTAAATTGTAAATGTGACATTGCTAAATGTATTGTACATTAAAGAAGCATATAACAATTTTAGTGTGGTATTTAAAGGTGAAACTGATCTGCCCTTTGTGCACTTCCTTAGTTCTTAATTTCTTGTTTTACAGAAATCCTAGATAACAAAAAATCATTACATTGAAGAGAACTAGAGCTATGAATGCATATTTTAAAATAAAGTTTTAGTGTGGAAAATATGCTCAATTATATTTTATTGGCACATAAATCAGCAATTGTACCACCAAAGTGTGCATGCTTATTATTGCACATTAACACAAAAATCCATATATGCCATCTGCTTGTTTTCCTCAAATTTGCTGGGAGAACCTTTTGGTTATAGTTTCATAATATTAGTGTTATCAAGAGCTATACTTTTTTTTAACTTAAAAAAATAATTTTCAGACTCCACTATGTGATGGGGATCAACTAAAGGCTGTCCCATTAAGCTCATCCATTTTCACTGTTCATGCGTTCAGCGGTATTTACAAATTGCACATGGAGTACATTTGACAGAGGGAGTGTTGTCCTAGTGCAGTTTACGATGGCGATACCTGCCTGCCTTTTCTTTCGCTGCATTGGCACAGGCATTGTGCTTATTTTGTTGTAAGTGGTTCCAGTATTTGATCAGTTCACTAGGCTGGAACTGATGGGAGGTAATTAGGTGGCTATATTTACAGCTGGAGTAAGAAACTCGCCAGTGATTGAAGACAAACTCGTTGGGTGGAGGCATAGGGTCAATTCGCAGCTTGGCAAGACAGATCCCCACATACACATCCTCTAAATGTAAACGTCTGATGCTCAAGGAGACTTTAAAGATTTTTTCCGCTAAATCTCCAGAAAAAACATAACCAGTTCCAGAGCAGAATACAGGATAACGTTCACTTGGATACAAATCAGGTGGCATATACCACTTACTATCCTTGTTCCTATTAGGTGCATAACCTCTCATTAAATAACCTGTAAAATACTTGTGCCTTGGAGGAAGTTCTGGTTTCAGGAGCTTATGTATTAAATATTCAGTATTGACAAACATATCACTGTCAGTTTTCATAACATATGGAACATGTGGACAGTAAGATGCAACCCAGTTCATTCCCATCAGTGTTTTAATGGTTAAATTATAGTAGGTATCTAGGTATTCTTGTTGAATGATGTCATGGTACTGTCTGCTTTCCTCTAGTATGGTACGCTGGAGGTACCCATTTATCTTGATGCTTAACCCCAGCAAAAAAATACGAATAATTTGGATGCCAGGTGTCAGGCTTTCGTTACCCCAAGTTTGTCGAATAGCTTGTCTAGCTTCCACCTGGCCTGGCTCTGCAGCTATGAGCAGTATTAGAAAAGGAGTCTTCTCCTGGCACTTCTCGGGCTCATTGATGATATATTTGAAATGATACGAAGCTGGGTGCCCAGTACCTTTCTTGTTGTAAATACTTCCATTGGCACTGAGGGTGTTTTCCAGACCAGTTACTCCTTGTGGTGATAAATCCGTGTTGTTGGAGTTGGTGACTGTTTGAGGCCTGAGTGTCTGAGGTACGGCGTCTTTCCACACGTTTCTTAGAGAGCTGTGGTTTGTCTCGCTTTTTGTAGATCTAAATCCTCGTATAGTGTAAGCCATGGGATTTTCTTTGAATCCAGCCCTGCCTGGCAGCCAGTCATGATGATTAAAGAACAGAAACATAGCAAAAAGAAATACAAGAGAGACCAGGCCAATGAGATGGGTGCGAAACAGAGACCTTTTGGTATTCCAGGTCATCTTTGCAAAGCAGCAGTGTCGTCTTCTCCACTGAAGCATGTTGTAAGAATCCTATGATGGGATATGAGACAATGGCCAAGCAAAATGCTCTTCTGATCGTTTTTGAATCCACTGCTATTCTTTGGTATTCATTTTGAGCATGTTGAGTAATTCTCTGCAAATGGCTCACACTGCAAAGATTTAAGAAAGGAAAGTCAGATATCTTGAATTTTATGTACTCATATTATAAAAGGTTACAATGAGAAACTAGATATAAATATAAAATTGAGTTCAGTTTTTTTGAAAAACACACCCATGTTAATATAAACAAGGTTTGATTTATGCTAAAAGCCAACGTTGCCCTGTGATTAAACTTGACTTGATTTGTTAGCTGTTAGAAATACTTTTTTTTTTTTTCATGGTAAAAGTTTTGACAAACATCTTGGCTACCAAAGATAAAAAGGAAATTAAATTGATCATGTTAGAAGGAAAAGTGTGAAGTAGATGTAAATAGCTTGAGGTATACTGACTGTGAAATCCTTGTACAGTGTTTGAGGAGGACTGAATGAAAAGGCCTTGGTACCAGATGGAAGGTTTATTGGCATTAATTAAAATTGATTTGACATGCAGAGGCTAGTACGGCTCACAGTTTAAAAACCCTTTTTGTAAAATGGTCATGTATTGGTGGTGGGACAGACGGCGCAAGGTTGATTATGGCAGAGTTGTGTTAGTCACAGTACACTGCTTGGCGTGTTTCCACTGGCCCCGACTGTGCTCAGAAAGTCAATGAGAAGATGCACCTGTCAAAATTAATTTTCAGGGTCCAGTAACCTCACTGCACAGCCCTCAGATGGTAACGCAGGATAACATTTTCGGTCACCTTCCAGGCACCTTTAACCTTCTACTCCACACTGAAGGAAAACGCTGAATGGAGCGCTTGGCTGTTGTGCCAGGCTCATATTGCAGCTGAAATAAAATTAAGCTGTTGATTTTTAGTAGGCAAAGATCTTGGGTTCATATTAACTAGAAGTAAAATGGCACAACATGAAGTTTCTGGAAAACTGTCAAATGTGATTTTTACTCTTTTTTTTTTTTTTTTTTTTTTTTTTTTCTCTCTATAAATGTATATGTAAGTACTGTACTTCTGGTATCACAAGGAAATTTCAAGTATTGTCAGCAGCAGCTGTAACTGTAGGAAAAAGTGCCAAAGTAGTCTGTGCTTCATGTTCTCTTAAATTTTTTTCATATTCAAGAGCAGAGTCAATATGGCAGCTTCATGATGCTGCATATTAAAAGCTGATCACATCATCTCGTAAATGAACCTTTCACTGCACAGTAGCAATTCGTTTGTGATTTTCAATTTGCTCTAATTTATTTCTGGGCCCTAGGGTTTTGTATAGGAAAAAGGATGACAGTTGAACAAGAATCCATAGAAAATGCTATTTCTAATATAAATGTGTAATTTATTAATTGCTTTGCTATCTTCTAAAACCAATATTTGGATTAATTTCTGCATTTAAAAACTAAGTGACATGTTATTTGGGAAATTAGAGGCTTTTTTATTGTAAGGAAATAATTTAAGATGAGATGGCAGTTGAATAATGTATTATTAAATTGTATGTGTGTGACTTAACATTTAATCTGCCTGGTTCATGCAAAGTAAAATTTGTATTTCAAAAGGGTAGGGAGAGATATATAACTGAGGTTTATTTTAATTACTGTATGTCAGTTTATATATAAACAAAATAACGTGTATGCAGAAGATGCCATATTCACAGTGTTGGGAAGCAAGCAGGAGGTAGTACTGCACGGAGTTGGAACTGTCTCTCTTACCAACCTCCGCTAGGAGGAGCAAGTAAGTGGGGATTTTACCTGTGGTTTGTGACAATGTTGTAAACGTGTCTGAAAAGGGGACACTGCTCCTTGATTTGCTGTCTGAGATAGTGAAATATTTGCCTAGTGGTCTATTAAGCTCTTCCTTGTCGTTGTGCTGTTACACAGCGTTCACAGATTTTGTTTTCAACTCACTGAAAGTATTTCTGGTTGGTTTTGTGGGTTTTTTTTAAACTGCTTGGGACTAATGCCACTTTACCACAGACTGAGCTATCTTTCTGAAAATTCTCTTCTAATCTACAGATGTTGAACTTGTGTATCTTAGAGTATGTAGCTTGAGAATTAACCTGCAATTCCACACTGTTCATTTTATGTTATTTTAACTCAGACATTATCTTTCTGTAAAAGAAAATAAGACCCAAATGTAGAAGACTTAGGTTTATCTGGCCACTCACACCTGCTTTTGCATAAATAAAATAAAAACCTGCCCTCAAAACTAAGAATTTTTAGTTCCTCTGCAGTTGTATAGTGAGTTTTAAATGAACACTCAGCTATTTGGGAAGAATTCCTCTGCATAAGCAAACATAAATGTCACTTCTAAGGGTACCCTAGATCTCAGGGAAATTAATTGTTTGATACCAATTCAGAGGGCAACAGTGGGAATATTTGATTAATTATCATTCTATTACATGTGTATGCAGTTTAGGAAGAAAGTCAGAATGAGAATTTCACAACTGTGGCTTAGCAGCTAGAATTCATATTTTGTCATACTGAATTGTTCCACTTCTAAAACTGCAGTTATTAGATGCAAATACTTAAGTAAATCAGTACTGCACTACTATTCTGTGTTTTAATTTTTAACTGAGGTAATGTTTTGTTGTGCACCTACTTTCATAGGTAAAAAATGAGAATTTTAAGTTGCATAAATATTTGTGCAAACTGAAAACTGTTCAGGTGCTGTCTTTCAGTGATGCACTGAGGAAGTGTCCCAGAAAAGACAGTGGTAATGGCTGGAACATTTTTTTACTTTTTTTTTATAAGGCTGTGTGCTCACATTCTACACATTAAAATAAGTTTTACAGTGAGGGATGGAACTAGAATTGTAAGAAACTTAGAGAGTGATTTCTCACATATTTCCCTGATTTTTCAAGGTGGTAGTTTCCTAGAAAATCTTCAGTGTCGGTTTGCCCTTTAAAAAGGCATTGTATGGATATGGGAAAGACCCACATATATTTCTCAGCTTCATAAAACTATTGACTGAAAAAAGTAAGTAACTTCGTCTCATTTTCTTTGCAATTCAGATGTAGAACATTTGAAAATATGCAGTGGATATTAAGCATTTGAAATACAGCAATACAATATAGCAATTGTACCTTTGAAAAAATACTACATGTTGGGATGCACTATCAAAAAATAATCTAAACAACTGCCAATTTATAGTAAAACCACCATCAAATAGTATCATAAAAATATTAATTTTTTCTTCACTTGAATTAGGTTTCGAGCATTACTGCTTTTGCCCAAATAATAAAAAATTCATTTCGCATAAAGCTTATGAACAGGCACCAATTGTTGGCAGTAGATAAGAAAACCTAAGCGTAGCAAAAGGTCTCTATACAATCACCTTGTCCTCTGAAAGTGTGTTGTTGCATGTCGCTCTGCATTTTGAAGATATGATTTATAATAGTTCTGCTTCATTTTTGACACTTGACTGTGCAGTCACTGATGCATTATCAAATGCCAAATATATAAACTGTGAATGCCTCTCGAATTTTTATTTGTGGTCTGTGCTCTGCTGGTGTTTCGGTTCCTTGTACTTTCAGTTCTGCTCTGTAATTACAGCTTTGCAGATTGAAGCATTCAACTTCCCATTCACACGTCCTGGATTTTCATATTTTGATTAGCTGTGTGGGCAAACTCTTTAATTAGAGGGAAGAGTTCAAAAGGCAGCCGGAGTCAGTATTCTGATAAACAGCAGCAGCAGTTGAATATTAGGCCTCACAATGTGCCTGAGTTCACTTGCAAACTGCATTAATCTTTTGCACTAAACGGTACTCGGGATGAGGTTTGATCTGCAAGTTTTTAAATGTCAGATACAAAAGTTGCACCACTAGTCAGGCATACTCCTCCAGGAGTGTTGCCTGAGGGTAGTTTTTTTTTTTTTTTGTTGGTTTTAAAAGTTTTGGAAAGTGACTTTATTTTCTGAATGTCTTAAAAGTGATCTGAAATCAGTGACTGTTGTATGCTGCGTCCTTAGTTATGTGTACTCTTTTCAGTTGCGATTGTTTCATTGCATGTTAGCATTGCCTTGGGCAAAGAAAGCACACTTATATTGACATTTAAGGATTTTAGCTTACTGGTAGATTCTGCAGATAAGCACTTTCTTTCTGTGGTGTAATAAATTGCTGTAGATTTAGGTCTTAGATTTGTATTGCAAATATTCATCTTGTTTGTTTGCCACTAGTGATGAAGTATTAAATTTCAACTATAAATAGGAATGAATGGCAATTAGATGGAATGTCATTTTACAATCCAAGTTAAACAGTCAGTATTTTCATATTAAATAGAAATTGTAATGATGGCATGACAAGTTACATGCTCACCATTTTGAGTGAATAGTGTTTGAAGGTTTCCTTTTGGGATGTCAGAGAAGCCTGATGTTACTTGGAAAACGTAGTGCCTGATTGCACTGCTGATGGTTTAAATCACGTCCAATCTTTTGCATGCTCCCAGTTTCTGCCTGATGACATTTTGCTTGTGTTTTGGGAGGGGACACAAGCAAGTGTAAAAAGGTCTGAAGGTACTTTTAAGATAATGTAATTTGACTGTGTGGTCTGTTTTGATGGTTTAGTGCTCCCAGTGTGTCCTATCATGGACATTTTACCAGTGCTTTAAGATTACTTCAGATAAGGATTAATTCTGACCTAGTTTGAGAGGATTTCTAGCTGTTTTTTCTGTATTGTGAAGGGGGTTGAGTTTTTAATTTCTCAGTTAAAAGCAATCATTACAGCAGCTACATTATCCCTTTAATCCCTTCTCTCTAGCCACACCAACCTTGTGCAGACTGTAAGCAATGCATTTAGCAAGTGTAGGGTAGTGACATTGTGCTGTGAGAGAGGAAAACCTGCTAGAATTTGTTCTCCCCATTCAGATACGTGATATCTCAGGGCTCTGCGAATTAGGAACGATCATTATCTGTAATGGCTGAAAAGGTAACAGACAATTGAATGAATATCACACACAAGGATTTGACATACCTTCCTTGATCAGGCCATTTATGGTGCGAGGATTATACCCACAGAAAATAGTTTTGGCACGCCATCACTTCAGCAAAAAAGATGCTATCGAACATGCGCACATCCCCCAACAGTCTGCTTCCTGCGATTGCTTTTCACAGTATCCAATCTGTCCATCTGTCTTCTCGTTGCTGTGTTACCTTCCTCACTCATAAGTGTTGTCCTTGTCTTGGGGCTTTTTGTTCATCCTTCAAACAAAAGGACAGTAGTTTTCATTTCTGTTCTGATCGGGGCTGTCTGGCGTTCACAGCCGATGTATTGGAGCTTTTACATCTGGTGTTTCCCTTGTCGGACAATGCAGTGCTGTGTTCTCTTCTCCTCAGTATCCATATTTCTAATGGTAATGTTAGCAGGGAGTGCTAGCGCGTAGTGGTTCAGTTGCCTTCAGTAATAGGATTTCCCTCTATTCCTTTCTTCATTGTTGCTAGGCAGTAATAGAAATGGGTTTGAGCTGTTTTAACCAAGGATTCTGGTCTATAAAATCCATTCCGTAGTTCTTCAGCTGCTGCACAGGCAGGCAGCAGTTTAAATGTGGGCTTTGACAGATGCTGTCTTCTGACAGAGCAGAATTTAACGTCATTGCTTGGCTGAATCCCACGTGATTGTTTGCATTCATTTTGACTAAATCGAAAGGCAGCCAGAAAGCTGTACAGGCTCTTGCTCCTATTTGATAAATGATACATACTCAGTTCAAGCACAGTGATAGGTGAATAGTATAAAAATTGTATGATTATTAAATGAATGATTGAGGGTTTCTACAAATTGTTTTCACTTCTGCTTGAAGCTGTTACTTGTGATTCTCTAGGGGATTTTTTCATGCTAGACGTTCTATTCCTGTATTCCAAAAGTGGTTCTGCAGTGCAAAGGAATTATAAGCATTTAAGTACCGAAGCCTGATTTAACCCATGTGGCTTTCTTCGAGTATAAATCTTTTGTGTCTTCATGCCAAAGAAAAAATAAAAATTTATTTCTTTACTCATACTTCCTTTACACATGCTTACTTTATAAAAGCTGCTTTTTGTAATCTTAGGTTTATCAATTAAGCTGGGCGACACTAATGTATAAGCACATGCTGTTAAGCTGCCTTTCTGCTGTTAATGGCTTTCTTCCTTTGTAAAGGTTGAAGTCTGGTATTGCAGAATCGGGAGCACTTGATTTCAATTATTGATGTATCTAAAATGTCTTTTGTCTGTTATAGGTATACCTATATTATAGAATTTGTCCTTCTGATCCTAATGAAACTTGTGTTCCTTTCATTTCTGTCTTTTCAAATGACTGACCCTTTTATGCTGAACCATCTTATTATATTTATGACATGTTATAAATAAAATATCAGAATAGATAGCTCAGGAAATAGAAAGCTACCAGTATAGTTATCCAAGTATTTATTAGTCACTGTGTTTGTCCACTCTATTTCGAAAAGTTAATGACTAGCTCTTCAGACTGTTTGGTGTTCTTCTAGGGTTTTTTGTTCTTTGTTTGGTGGTTTGTGGTTGTTTTTTTTTTGTTTCAGGGTTGGAGAGTGGTTGTGTTGTTTGTTTTTTTGGTTTTGTGTTTGTTTGTTTGTTTTAGCCAAAGGATAAAGAAAATACAGTTGTTCTGTCCTGTGGTATCTCTGAGTAGGACTGCAGGGTACGTATGTCTGTTCCTGGCAAATGAGTCTTCCCCAGGCAGTCATTGTGTTTTACGATTCTGGATGCATATTCTGAAAATTTACTAGAAACATAGTCAGATTTATATCCTACTAAATCATCTGTGTACACTAACGTTTTCTGTTAATCTAGTCTTCTTTTTAGTGTATGCATTTCCTATCCTAATGACAATTTCCACAAATCCTATGATCCTATTTGAGGACATTTTAGGAGGATGAGCATATTCCCTAAATATTAATTATACATACTACGTGCATATCAGTGAAGACTTTTATCTCTTCCACTCTCAGAATTTTGTATTTAAAAAATAGAGAGGGGGGGTCAACAGAGCAGTGGAGCAAGAGGGGAGACACCTATGTCCAGCACCACTTACTGTTCTGGGTTGTTTATGAATAATTGAGAATCAATGCATAGAAAGGTTGCATGTGTGCTCAGTCTACTGAATTTTCCATTTAAACAACAAAGCTTTCTTATCGTTATCCTGAATAGTATACAGAACTTTATGATCTGTTGCTGTATGTATACAAATGTGTGACAGGGTTTGGCTAGGAGTATTGTCAATTTGCTGCATTCTGGGCTACGAGTAGGAAATCCAGTGAGATATGCATGCAGTTAATTGACGCATGTAATGGTTTTTCAAATACCAGCACGTAAATCTGCCTCTGACCTTTGAATTTTCAGAGAAGACACATAACATTGTGTTTGGGAGACAAATCTAAATCCCAGCAGGGTGGTTATTGAAATCCACAGTGTTTCCACTTTATTTACTACTGCTTTACTATACCTGAAGTCTATCTCTGAAGGTTTGTGAGTTATATGTAGTATGTTTGCATATTGGGATTGGCAGAGATGTTTTTCTTTTTCTGTATATATTCATTGGTAATTACAAAAGGTACAAAAATCCCAAGGGCCGTTTTTTTCTGAATAAAATCTGGTTTCAAGTAAATTTCAAGGGAATAGACATCAGCTTTGGCTTTTAATTATATGACCATATCAGTTGTGCATAGCTTGTAAAGTTCGTGCAGAGCTCTTTCCTGTTGACACATGTAAAATCTGTCATCTTGCCATGTGAACAAACTGAATATTGAATTCATAAATCTTAATGAACAATTTCTTTTGCTCACTCATTCTTTGCTTTTAAAGGATGAGCAGGTCTTTGCTCATCTCACAGAAAAGTAAGGAAAAGGTTTGATTTTTCTACAACTTTCTATCTGGGTGTGACTACTGTAGATTGAGACAGTCAAAGTTTCAGAAAGAAAATCCTTTTCTTCTATAGCACTTTCTTCTTTAGTACTTTTAATGATACTGTATGTTTCTGGGCATTTCAGGAGGGTAGAGCTTGCTTTGTATTGGAAATGTGACCTGAAGGTTTGAGTAATCTTGCTGGGCTGGAGGTTGCAATGAGCTTTATTTTGGCTTAATCTCACTCTGAAGGGTCAGTGGACTGCTTGTTCTTGATCCAAAGAGTAATATGTTCTGTAATGTTACTATGGTTACGTCTTAAATTAGAAGCTGCAAAGTTAGTGTTTGAAATGCTGCCATCTATTAAGACTACGAAGGAGTTCCTCGGATGTGAAGATGTGCAGTGTGTGTGTAAGGAACACTACAGAGTTACTGTGACCAGTGAAGGCTTGACTGTTCAGTGAGTTCTGCAAAGCCAGAAGCAGATGCAGGGAGTTGGAAAAGATGCGTGCTTAGAATAACCTGTGTGTGTAACAACTGTGCACTGTGCAAAATGTCCTCATGCATAACAGATGTGTGTAAGTTTGGAATGTTCTTCGAGAAACTTAAATTTTCTACATGTCGTTTTTAGAGGGTATCAGTAGAATCTTGTCTTAACTGGTTTTAAAGTAAATCAGACCCTAAGGTTGAGCCATTAAATAAGATTCTCTATTGACACCATTAACATTAGTTTCTCAAATCAATTTAGAGTGGTTGCAGCAGTCAGGTGTGTACTGCAGTGGTCATGAGTCCCATGAAAATTAAAATACGTACATCATAGCTGACCTGTCAACTGGGTGTTCTCGTATGGACTGTGCTTTCTGGATACTCTCTGAATACTCTGCAAAGATTATTCCATTTTATCATAGTAAAATGTAGCATTATTTCAGCTGTAATGTCTTGAAAATGTTTCAAGTGACAGTTCAAAATGATTAATGGCAACATTTCCAAGGTTGGTTATTTTTGCTTTTAAACTTCTGGAAATGTGATAATACAGTATGTCATAAACACATAGTTTTAATTTTCTGTGGTAAGAATTATTCTGTATATGGCCAGTGGCCATTCTGCTCTTTAGTTCAAAAAGAATACTTCCGTGAGTCATTTAGAATAGAGAGGAGAGGGTTATATAATATTGGTAATTTGCTTGGCTACTTTGTGATCCCAGCATGTTTCTTAACTATCACAAGCATGTTTGGAACTAGCAATCTAGGAATGACCACAAGTGTCAGTATTGCCTGCCTTATTTTCCTTAGAACATTTTTACCATTGCTTAGGTAGTTGAGAAACCCAGCCTACACGTGCTACATTTTTTATAAATGGTCATGATTTTGCACTCCAACAACACCCAAGCCATAAACTTAGTGATTTCATTAACCTTTGAATGTCTTAAATTTCAATCAGAAATGTGGCAATACAGGTCAGCCTGAAATGGTGATAGAGCAAGCAAAGGTTTCCAGTTATTCTGAAACATGCATGCTTTTGTTTGCTAATTAGTAGTTGATAATTGTTACAGCATTTAATAAGGAATATAAGAAAATCCCCTGATTTAGCAAAGTTGTGAGAGAGAAAAGACTCAAGTGATCTTTTCAAGTCAGGAGGGTGCTTCTTATTCCTTCTGCCTTAGGAAACATTTCAAGGGGTTATTTCATAATTCTAAAGCTTGTGGTTTTTTATGAAGCAAACTGATGTTCTAGGTATCCAAATGGAATTCAATCCACTCTCCTGTCACAGCTTCCTGTGAAGAGCACAGATTTGGAGTGTTTCAAAATTCACATGACAAGCCAAAATACGAAATGGTTTCTAGTCTGCTTTATTTCTCTTCTGGTTTTCTGTGTAACACAAATTTTATATGTTGGTCCACTGTCCAGACACATGTTTACCTCAATAATATGTTGTTTGCTTTATTACATCATCTTTCTTTTCTGTATTCTGATTTTTCATGTGTTCCTCCAGGCTTTGCATCCATTTATTGCTGATCTCAAGCACTAAATGCAGATTTTTTTTTTTTTTTTTTTTTTGAAGGGATGGACAACATAATTCAATTGGTATTGTGCAGTATTTGTGTTTGTGTGGTTCTTCCCTGATAAACTGAAATCCAGTGCCAGCAGTAATACTTTTCTGCCTGTCACAAGTGTTACTTTTGCATTCTGAGGAGAGCAGGGACTTCATGAAGCTTTGATTCAGCACAGCAGGGGAGAGAAAGCCAACCAGCAGAAGTATCAACCGTTTGCAGGCAGTTTAAAGAACAACTGTGGAAAATAGACCTCTGTTTTTTTCTTTAGCTTATGACTTACCCCTAACACCCACCCTCACACCCCCAGCATGTGAATTTGAAATGAAAATTTGAGTTTTTACAGAAAGTGAGACTTCAGGGGAAGAACGGATACTACATATCAAATCTCCTGAGGCAGAAAGATGACATCCTATGGGAGTTAATAGGCCACTAGCTCTTATGCCTAAGGAAAAAAAATGTGTTGTTGCAGCTGGTACCACCTATCCAGACCCCCCTTTCTGCCCAGTTCCTTCCTGCAACAGGCACAGAAAGACCTTTTTCCCTTAAGCTTTCATCAGGCTCTTGAGGCATCCAGCACTTCTCTCCCAATTATTTGAAGACTCTTGGCCCATCAGGTTCATCACCAGGATGCAGATCTCCTGGCCAGCACTCTTCCTAG